TTAGAACATCACTGCTTTATACATGTATTTGCCTTTTAATTGTGTACATTCATTGATAACTAATAAAATCAAGGATATATCTTTGAATGTTTAAAGAAAACAAATGCTTAGGAAAGTATCACACTTTTTACAACTGTAGGAGACAAAGTGTCAATTGACTTTAACAAAGAGTCCCCCTCTGACATTGAGAACATGAGGGAGCTCTCCTTTGTCTTCAACAACTACCAGGATGAACCAAGAAAAGTTCAAGAGTACCAGACCCTGTCTCGCAAAAAGACTATGTATCTCACCCAGCAGTCATTTGGCCATTCCTACGGTATGTTAAACATTTTGTATGTCTCTCTTAGCTTTAAATCAAAGAGGAATTAAGACCCTATTCTGCATTTGCCTGGTTGTGAGTAGAGTTCTTGTCTGTCTGTCCATCCAAATTCATTTGCATGTCCAGAGCATATTTCCCCCCCCCCCCTGCAATGGTGTAGTCAGACTCAAATTTCACCCATAGAGTGCCAATTTGTAAAGGATGTGCAGTGATCTTGACCAAATTTCTAGATCAGAGCTCATGGACCTTTGTAAGATTCTTGCCAAGAGCATATTTTCTCTCTCCTTGACCTTACCTTCACCTATAGAGTGTTTTGAGAGCGTCAGTAACCTTTGGTGAATTTTCTAGATCAAAGGTCAATGTCATACTGTGTATACATTTTGTTTTAAATATTTGTTGGGGTTACACAATTTGTATAATTCTTGTGGGTTGAGACAAATGCCTATTTATCTGCTGTTATACTTCGACAGGTACAAAAACAGGTACCCCACGTATCAGGGATCGTCCTATGTATGTGTATGTATCTCACACAAACAAAGATGGAGCCAAAGCCAATACTGTTTTCTCTGAGTAAGTGCACCTCATAAAAATTTAAACACTCTTCTAGCATTGTTGATTTATTTTTCATTTGCATACAGATTGATGGACATTAAACAATTTATTTTCATCAAGAAAAAGGTCTATGGTAGTTGGGGTCAAGATTATTGATTAAAAAAATTCTGTCACTTATATGCCATATATTCATAAGTATGTGACAGCTGAGATTTTATAACAACAAATAACTCTCTTGTATAGATTGACATCTAGTGGTCTTTTAGTGGAGACCTCAGCATGGAATGCCACCCCAGCAGCCAAGAGACAGAAAATTAAGGAATGTGACATTGTACTGATGTGTGTTTCCAAAAACTCCCTCAAAGACTCAGAGCAGAACTTGGAATGTCAGAGTTTAGTAGCAGAGAGTGAGTATCACCTCAAACTGTCTCTTTTAAAAAAAGTAATAATTATAGCATAACTAAAGTATCACAGAATACTGAAACTGACACTATTACTGTGTGTGTACAGTACTTAAAAAAGCAGAATGTACTGTAGATAAGAAGTTGGTAACTGTACTTTTGGAGGAAATGAAATGGCCACCTGCTGGAAACTTCAAGTCTCACAGTAAATCCCTGGTCAAGTTTGGTGATGCAGTGTTTCACTTTGATCAAGACACTATGGACTTTAAAAAGCTAGTCAAGTATATTTGTGAATATGTCTTACAGGTTTGTAAATTTTGTCTCTTGTTTTGAACTTGCTTAGCAATTAGGCATGCATGATTTGTTTGAAATATTATTTTTACATAGGAATTGTGAACAATTACTAATGTGGCACAAAATTTTACAAAAATATTCCCTTTGAACTTTAAAATATTTTAATAGAATAATAATCATTAATCCCATTCCATAATATTTTAATAGATTAATATTCCTAAATCCCAACGGGAGTTATCTCTCTTCTCAGAGGGACAGTGAACCTTAATTCTCTCTCTCTCTTATCAAAGGAACAGTTCACTTTAATTCTTTCTTTGGCCAGGTTTATATTATGAAATGTAATCTTTTTCAAAGGAGGATATTGCAGCACCAAAGATAGAGATGGTGGTTCCAATACCTGTCATTAACTTCAGCAGTGGTCCCATGTCTACGGCAGGACCATCACAAACAGCATCAGGAAAACTGTCCAATCAAAAGGAACCTAGCAAACTAACTCCTTCTAAACCATCCATTCAGAAGGATCAATCCACACCTACAAAATCTAAAACACAGCCCACATCTAAAGGTTCAGAGAAAAAGTCCAGCACCAAAGTTTGCCAGATTTTATGATGTAGTGAAATGTTTGACATAGACTTGCAGTGTATTCTTTTAATTATTTTACTTAATGTACAAGTGGTATTGTTCAGGGTACCCATAAGCTACTTAAAAACAGATACTGCACAATCAATGTCAAGTTTTTTATAAAATAGATAAAAGGGTAACAATAAATGTATGTTTTGTTTTTTTTACTTTTAACATATATGCGTTATACATGAGACATTTAATATAGTGGAATCATCATCGTTTGTGGTTGGGACCAATGCATGTTTATGCATTTTACGGGTCACCCCTATGCCTACAAATTTACATTCCATTAAACCATAACTTTGTCAACATTTCGGTTAATTAAATGATTTATTTGCGTTTTCTATATTAGTACTTCCCAATGTGTAGTAAAACTTGTATTGTCAATGACACCCCCCCAAAAAAATTAAAGTGATTTCAGAGCAAGATATTATATTAATGAAACTGTGTATGGTGTAACAATGTATTCAGTTCATTTTGTCTAGTAATATGTAATTCATCTGTGATATCATTAAGTAGCAATCAGTATACTCTTGTTATACTCTCTGTGATATATTTATACATGTACATGTGTTGATATTCTTGCCATTTTTGCAAGCTTTATAATTTTTTTTTTTTTTTTTGCTCTTTTTTTTTTTTTAAATTGTGTGTGTGTATAGCTTTCTTTATACATGTATGTATTTAATGTTTTAATGAAGTGTTTACTTGTAAATATTTCAATGGGATTAATTATTTTATTAAAACAATAAAAATAAATAACTGGTATTTTAAAATTTGCACTGCAAATACATTGGGTGTCTGTAAATATGTATTTACACGAATATATTTTGTTTATTATATGATAACTCTTAAATGCAAGTCCCCTTAAGAATCTAACCTTTTTAAAAAATGTTTATAATTTTTATGCTGATCGATAACTACACATTTAAAATTGGTGCACTTTTCATATCACTTATACAGTCATTTGTACATGTCTGTTTTGGCCCATCCATGTTGTGATTTTGCTGATATATAACTGTGGTCATTCCAGAATATTTCATAACCCCAATGAATTAATTTATTTTATATTTCATCAGTAATTGGAAAGCATGTACTACTTCTCAATGAACAATAGCACATGTAGTGTATATTTTTGAACATGTAATGCCCTTTATGAATATAGAAATGAAATTAACAGTAAATTGGGGTCCACCGTTATAAAACTTTGAGAATTCTCATAAAAATTCTCAACTCAAGTCTTGAGAATTACTCACCTGAGAATTTTACAATAAAACAGAGTTTAAGGAATTTTATTTTTCTCAACTTTTTTTATGACGGCCGCTGAGTCTGAGAATTTTGGATTTGAGAAATTTCACAGACTTGAGAGCATTCTCAGACTTAAGTATGTTTTATAACGGTGGACCCTTTTTAAAATACTTCTAAAATACAAAGGTTTTACTATTTTGTAAAATAAACCATGAACAAATTCAATACTGTTTCATCATGTAAAATTGTAATTACTTGTTCATGTATTTACATTGATAAGTACATAAATTAATGTATATCATGTACATAAATTAATGATTGTATCATAAATTAATATATATTGTGCTTTTTTCTTATAGAAATAGGTATTAACATGTACTTGACCTGTTTAGGGTATAATTGTGCCAAAAATATATGTTTCGTTTTCTCTTTATTGCATTAAATTATTAACAGTTGCTGATTCTTGCTTCTTTTTTTTTTTTTGCTATCACGTACCTCATTTTTCCCCTACCCCCATATCAAGCTCTGAGAGCTCTTTGTTATACATGTACATCTAATGGAAATAAAATACAATAAGAAAAAATATAAGTTATAGTATAAATATCACACAATGTTAGTTCTAGGCTGTATTGTATGAATTTTTTTCAAAATTTTGTCCAGGAAAAAAAATTTGCCTGAAAGGCCAAAAAGAAATTGATCAATAGTTTCTCAGGTACCGCCGCATCAGTTCAAAAACGGCCGCATTAATCAATGTTTTATTGACATATTGAAAAGGGAAATAACTCAATTTTCTATTTTTCCAAGTTGAAAAAGAAAATTGAGTTATTCCCCTTTTCATAAATGCTAAGATAGACGTTTTTGTTAGACAAAAAATATATTTCTTCTAAATTTACAATATTCTATGAATTAACTTTTAAATAAATGTTTGGAATAACATTATTTAAAGTTGAATACATGTTATAACTAATTTCAGAGAACAAAAATTAAGAATTAGTAGATACTATCATTTTATTGAACAAATGGCTTAAAAAAGATGTAAAACCTGCCTTAAAAAAAACAAAAAAAAAAAAAACCAAAAAAACAAAACCTGCCTGCCGCATTGGATTTTGAATTTTTTGGCCTGGGAAACTACCGGTATTGATTAATTTTTTTTGGCCAAACTGGGTTTGGGGTTGATGAACCAGAAGCTTCATGTAGAAATCAAATATTTTCATTTTTTGAAGATTTCCAAATAAAAAAATCAATGTTATTATTTTTATATCAAAATTATAGCTCACAACATCAAGCAATTACAAATAAAAATTTAAGCCACCATATGCTGACAATATGCAAAATAAATCATGCACATTTAGTTTACTCAAATCTTGTACAAATACTATTATATTTCTACTTAAAAATACATTGATCCATCTAGACTTTGCATTTAAATTGCCTCTAAATTATATCTGGTAAATCGTTTTACTATATAAATACAAGAACTCTACAGTTTAAATAGTACAACAATTTATTAGATATATACATACATGTATGTATAATTTATGAATATTATAAATATTTTTAGATGCATAAATAAATAATAATAATACTTGTAAAAACATAAACAACTTTTACACATAAAAAAAATTAAGCCATATATAAATTTGCAATCTTTGGCCTATGGCATAGTTTACCATGGGGAGACAACCCTGCCATGAGTCAGACAAGGTTATCTGTAAAGATAACTGACATAGTGTGAAGACCATTATGGAAATAGTTGTAGGTTAATTATATTTACAGCTGAGAGTAGATTAATCATTTTAATACTTACATACTTGCACAATGAGAAGTTCGGGAAAAAAAATTCTTCACATATAAATGTAGATAATACTAAATTGATTTCATGAGAAAATTGATATGAAATGTAATGTTTACTACATAATTAATTATAAATATATTTACAAATTTTAAAATAATAAAAATTGTTTTGAGAAAAAACTTTTAGATGTACACATCCAGGAACCTCCGTGTGAATGCCCCTCTCCAGCCCGTAAAGTAAGGTCGTGTGTACCACAGAATTCCATAGCAAACGACAGCTGCACAGACCCGCAGAAACGAAGAAACAGAGGGCAAAAAGTAGCTTAGACCCAGGGGGCCAAAGATAGGGCCAACATCTTCATCCTCATACAGACCATCAGTTGGGTATTGGAGTCTCTCTAAGACCTACAAAATTTTATCCAATATTTGAAAGACATGTACAATGTCTAATTACTTAGTGAAGATAAAGGGGCCAAATTAAAACTTTAATATTCGAATATTCTTAAATAAATGAACATTTATTTTTGTGAGCACCAAAACAAAAAAAATTTGGTTTAGTGTACAAGTGGGAATGTGAACATTATGTCTCAGACACATATGGTTATATTAGAGACTTGAGAGATAGTCTTTAGTGACTGTTTCATCATACTGTACCTCCTTGACTGCCCTTTCACCAGACTGAATGGCTCCATCCATGTATCCTGACCACCTTGTAGCAGTTTCTGTCCCAGCAAAATGAACCTTTCCAAATGGTTCCCTCATCACTCTGAAAATAAGAAAATTGTATGACCATTTGTTTTACTGTTATTTATACATAAAATTTCACATAATTTTTCAACTGGAAGATAAAAAGTTTCTGTGGCGTGTATCAATCAATTGACTGAATAGATTTTCCAAAACTATCAAAACATAGGTAATCAGAGATTACAGAGCTCACCTTAACGAATGTTGTCCACAAGTAAGGCAAATCAAGTCACACAATTAACCAACAAAAAGTGTACATCCAAAAATGCAAAATTTATGCAATTTTGATACTTTGGAATAGACCTATACAAAAACTTAAAACTAGTTCTTCATCATGAAAATGTAATTAAAATCCAGCATCTGAAGCAAGATTGAGAGTTTTCATCCCTTGATGCATCATTTGTGCAAGTTTGGTTTATACAAGCCTTTTAGTTTCTTGGTGATAGACCTGCACCCATAACTTTTACGAGTTCTATTATCTGGAAAATATATGTCAAGTTCAGCATCTGAAGCAAGTCCATCAGTGTGCATCCTAAGATGTATCATCCATGCAAGTTTGTTCAACATAGAGCACAAAGTTACTTGCAAATGAAACCTGTATAAAAAACTAACCTTTTCAATAATCCGGAAAATGTTGGTCAGATTCAGCTTCTGAAGCCAGCCTAGTAGAATGCACCCTTAGATGTACCATCCATGCAAGTTTGGTCATTATAGGGCTAAAAGTTACTTGGAAATGAATCCTGCACCATAAACTTTAACCTGTTTACTCGTCCAGAAAATGTAGGTCAGATTCAGCTCCGAAGCAAGTCTGGTTATGCATCCTTGAAAGATGTACAATGCAAGTTTAGTCATTATAGGGTTCATAGTACCTTGGAAATGAAACCTGCACCAAAAATTTTAACCTGTTCACTCAACCGGAAAATGTAGGTCAGATTCTGCATCCGAAGCAAGTCTTGTAATATGCATCCTAAGATGTACCATCCACGCAAGTTTGGTCATTATATGTCTCATAGTAACTTGGAAATTTCCTGCACCAAAAACTTTAACCTGTTCACTCAACCGGAAAATGTAGGTCAGATTCAGTATGAAGCATTTGTTTTACTGGTAGTATGCATCCTAATTTGTACCATCCATGCAAGTTTGGTCATTATATGTTTCATAGAAACTTGGAAATGAAACCTACACCAAAAACTTTAAAATGTTCACTCAACCAGAAAATGTAGGTCAGATTCAGCATCCGAAGCAAGTCTGTAGAATGCAACCTAAGATGTACCATCCATGCAAGTTTGGTCATTAAGGGAAAAAATTTCTTGAAATGAAACCTGCACCAAAAACTTTAACCTGTTCACTCAACCGGAAAATGTAGGTCAGATTCAGCATCCGGCAAGTCTGGTAGTATGCATCCTAAGATGTACCATCCATGTAAGTTTGGTCAACATAGGGCTTATAGTTACTTGGAAATGAGACCTACACCAAAACTGCACCAAAAATGTTAACCTGCACCAAAAACATTAACCTGGTCATTCCTTTGCTGAAATTGCAGCATCTGAAACTTTGACTGGTACAATGAAACACACTAGAAACATATTCCATGCATGTCTAATCAATATAGGATATAAAAGTAGTTAAAAAGTGAACTGCTCCAAAAAACTTAACCTTAACCCGGGACGCCGACGACGACTTTTAAAGATGACCTTACATCAGAAATCAATGGAATGAATAAATTTTCTAAAACTATCAAAAAAGTAATATCATTATGTGAATGAAATCTGAACTATAGGAAGTTACCTCCCATATACAGACAAAACACCAGGTGGCATCACAGCTGAGTAGCAGCCACCTGAGAATTCTTCCTGCATCCAGTTCTGCTCTTCATAACCAATGGACTGAATGAAAAAAGAACCAAAGCATTGACTTGGAATAAAGATAGTTGGCATATACATTGTATAAACCTCTTTAAAGACAAGTTAAGTTCTTCAAAAATACATTTTCATTATATGACCATTTTAGTCACATCCCTAGCTGGTCCCTGAATGCAAGATTAGGTAAATTAGTCATTGTTTTAAACAAGAAACAGTTTATCTTCTAAAGAAGATAACTAATTGTGCAGTGTATTTTCAATATACAAATAACTTCAATCCTCGCTAAGGCCTAAACTTGTCTTTACAAGAGGGGAAATTAAGCTAGGGTCAGTGAATTCCACAATTCTGATTTAGGCCAGCTATTAGAGTTCATCACCAACAGTTTTCAAACATTACATGACCAACTGCCCTACTCTAAGTCCTGAATTGTGGACCAAGTGGCCAGGAAATTCACAATTTTGATTCTCATTACTTATTATAATTATGCCAACAATTTGACTGTTTGACAAAGAAGATTTTTGTAGATTGTATTATGTATACCTTTGCAGGATTTTACCCAACCCCTCAGGACCCAGGGAGACAGGAAACCATAAAATTTAATAAAAGTTGTTTCCTTTTGCATATATGGATGATACATATCAAAGTTGCTAGGAATTAAAAACTGTTTATTAAACAATTGAAACATTTCTTTACATTCATTGAGAATTCAAAACATTAATTAACATTCATACCTTAAGAAATTCCTGATTTTTGAAAACTGTAGCATAGTGCTTACAAATGGCTCTTCTCCTTGAAAAATAGAAAAATAAAATATTACATTGATATTGCTTAAGTTTCAAGAGTATATAGCTTTTGCCCTGTCTGTCTGTCTGTCTGTCTGTTTGTCCGCAAAAACTTTAACCTTGCCAATAACTTTTGACTGGGTGGGACTAAGGCTTTCATATTTCTTAGGTATATTCCTAAAATTAAAGATTTAATTAATAATCCATGAGAATTTTATCTCACTTATAAATTGACCTTGGAGTTAAAGTGACACACTTTTACACCAAATGTGTTCAAACTTTTACTTTGGCCATGTGTAAAAATTATTATATGTTCACATACTGTATGTATTCTTTAAGACAAGACTTTCCATTGGATACTAACAATTTTAACATTTTGACCTTGACCTTTGAAATTGATTTTCTTTAAAAAAACTTTAACCTTGTCCATTACTTTTGAACAGTAAGGGCTAGTGATTTCATACTTCAGATATGTTATCCTTGTGAAAAGACCTTTCATTGGATACCAACAACTTTGACCCTTTGACCTTGCAAGACTTTGAGTTTGACCTACTTTTAAAATGACTTTATCCTTGGCAATAACTTTTGAATGGTTGGTGTGAGGACTTTCATACTTTATAATCCTTGTGACAAGACCTGTCATTGGATACTAACAACTTTGACCCTTTGACCTTGGATTTTGACCTACTTTTTTAAAAACTTCAACTTTGACAATAACTGTTCAACAACTAGAGCTAGGGCTTTCAGTCTTCACTTAAGTAATCTCTGTAGCAAGGGCCTTTCTTTAGAAACCAATAGCCTTGTCCCTTTGACCTTAACCCCGGTGTTTGACCTACGTTTAAAAATTTTAACCTTGGCCATAACTTTAGAACAGGTGGTGCTAAGGTTTTATATTTCATATTTGTATTTCTTGTGAGAAGGCCTTACTTTTGGTATCAACATGTTCGATTTGCATTTTTAATAAAAATTGTTATCAGCACTTTGTTAACCAAAATCATATTATCTTTTGACATTTCTTTTTGCTGTTTTTTTTAGGTTTAATTTATTAGTGTAATTTTACAAATATAAATAAGAATTATGGATGGTGTAAATTACAGTAAGACTACAGAATTGTAATCACCTTTCTTCTTTTGTCAGGGCACACAATTCTCGAGCCTGATTGGCTAATAGGAATCCCATAATTCCAGGTGAACTTCCATCCGGTTTGGTGTCGTCCAATGAAACAACTATAGGACCATTGTCACTGACAGCTATCCCATTAAAATCTGTAAGAATAACGAATTACAAATATACAACATAGGAAGGGTAGATTTCAGCCATTCAATATATATTAAGTATAAAAGAAATTTTACTGTATGCAGAGCATTTCAAATAAATGAAATTCTATTCAGTTATATTTACATGACAATATACATGAAGATAGAACCCCATGTAGACATAATACATTAAAAATAAGATTTCATAAAATCATAATTAAGATTCTTTTGCTCTCTTATTCAATTCCCAAAATGCCCTCTTTATTTTCGTGAAAAATATGGCAGATACACTGAATACTAATACAGCATGCAGATGCAAGATTACAACTTTTATTTATTTGACACTAAGAATGTACCATCTGAAATCATTTGAATCAATTAAAAAAGATAGAATGTAATAGCTATTCTGAGACTCTCAATAAAAATTATTCTGGAATGTTAGAAGAATTAAAAATTTTAATTAGTAAATTTATTAAAGAACTTTGTGAGATCCTGTTAAAGGGTGGTTCATGCATTACTTTTCACATCAGCAAGTTATTTAAAAGGTGGAATGAAATAGTGTGAAATCATAACTGTTCATGGGGGACAATGTTCATGTATGTCATTGGGTTCACAGTTGCATGAAAGCCAGTCAGTAGATTGGGTTTCAATAACTAAGTGGTTAGAGTGCTGGCACGGTATGTCAGAAGCCCTGGGTTCAAGTCCCAGTTGAGACTTGAATTTCACCACCTGTGACATGTATTTCAATTGCCATCCTTGATTTAATATTTCTACAAACATTAACTCTGTCAGTATGTCAGCTCACTGAATCATTGGTATGTATGAGCTATCCATTATGTCCCAGCAGACCAGTTTTAAAATATTTAGGTTGCCCATGAAGACTGACCCCAACAAAATTAAATGACTTCAAAGTATAAGCAAATGTGGGTTATTTGTTAGTATACATAAGCTATTAACCAAACGTCTTTTGGCTTACTTTCACATGAGAAGTTCTCCTGATAACAAATAATACAATTTAGGTAAATAAAGGGATATACGGCTGTACATGTATCAATAAGCATTCTTTAACTTTCAAATATTTAGAAAAATAGTCTGTAACAGTAGAAAATATACTTTGCATTATACAACTGTACTACATGTATGTCAGATTATAAGTACCAGTGTACCAAATTTGTCTGATGTCTGTCAAGAAAATGGTTCCCATGATATGAAGCAGACAACATATCCCTTTCCTGACCTTTGATCATATCCTCTAAAAGGGGATTTATGAACCAAGGTTAGTCATGTCATAAAGAATGATCTATAATCACAAACTTTTAAGCCCCCTTTGTTGAAAAAGAAGAAGCATAAAATTCTGATCTTGGGTTGGTTACAATAATTGATGGAAAAGATGACAAACAAACACAAAATATATTAAAAAAAACACACCACATTGATAAGTACATGTAGTAATTAATCAAAATTACTTTTTAAGCTTAAAATCCTTTTTACTTACAGGTGGTACCTGTACCCTTCTATTAATGAAGCTATAAGTTTGTTAATCTACTGTTCTTACCCAGATCCCTCCAGAATGCAGTCTTGTAATACATAACAGTCTTTATTATAGACCCCATTGGCATTCGCTGAATCAGTTGCTGCTTAAGATCAGGCAATGCAGGGGTGAAGTGTATTTTATTCAGAATTGTTAATGGCACTGCTGATATAACATATCTAGCCTACAGATGCATGAAAGTAAAAAAAAAATCATAGGACAGAAACAAAAGAATTAAACAAAACTTGTTTACACTTAAAAATACATCAACACATTGAAACATGCATTTACTCACTTATTTGTACAACAAGCACACAACATACTGTAATTAATATTTTGCCCAGGGAATAATTTCTGATTTTATTATTATTTGCAAACATATAGCAATATGCATATGACCTACTTTTTCTGTGTATCCCTTTACATATCTAAATCTACAAGACATTCTCTGCTGCCTGAGATCATTTTCCTGTGTTTACATACATGTATCTTGTATCAGAACACTCTCTGTATACCTGATATTTTTTCCCCTTGATATCCTCCATTAAGACATCCTGGTTCTCGTCTTGCTGGATTTTGACGACAGCTGAGTTCAGATGAACCCTACTCCCCAGTTCTGCTGCCATCTTTAGACACACCTGCTGGGATCCACCTACAAACTTCTGTTCCTAAAATGAGTAAAAAATGAAATGATCGATGAGTGTCTTGAATTTCAGTAAATAATTTCAATTTGCATACTTGTAGGATGTGCTGCAATTTGAAGAGGTAAACAAGAGGCCCAAGGGCCTTGAATCGCTCTTCTGATAAATTGTACAATCTATCACTTCTATTTGAAGTCTCTTACTCTAAGTATCCTAAGATGCATGAACTGACAAAGTTTGATGATTCTTTGCCTGTTAGGACTGAAGATATTTCAGTATAGCTATAAAATACCATAAGTAGGACATGGTGACCTACTTTTTGATTTGAAACTTTCTGAGGACTCAAGATGCATTAATTGACAAAGATTGATGGTTCTATTGAATAAGTACCTCACATATTAAAGTAGGTCACTGTGACCTTCTTATGGTTGACATTCCCTGAGGACCAAAGGTGCATCAACTATCAGAGTTTGATGATTCTAAGCCAATTATTACCAGAGATAATTAAATAAAGCCATGAAATGTCAAAAGTAGGTCACCGTGACTTACTTTTTGGTCAACATTTTCCGAGGACCCAAATGCATCAACTGACAATGTTTGATGATTCTAAGCCAATAAGTACCTGAGATACTCAAAAGTAGGTCATTGTGACCTACTTTTTGGTCAACATTCTCCAAAAACCCAAGATGCCTCAACTGACAACGTTTGACAATTCTAAGCCAATAAGTACCCGGGATACTTTAAATATAGCCATAAAATTCAAAACTAGGTCACAGTGACCTATTTTTTGGTCGACAGGTTTTGAAAACCCAAGTTGCATCAACTGACAAAGTTTGATGATACTAAGCCAAAAAGTACCTAAGATACTGAAATATAGCCATAAAATGTCAAAAGTAGGTCACAGTGACCTACTTTTTGTCAAAACCTAAGTTGCATCAACTGACGAAGTTTGATTATTATAAGCGAAAAAGTACCTAAGATACTGAAATATAGCCATAAAATGTCAAAAGTAAGTCACTGTGACCTACTTTTTGGTCGACATTTTCCGAAGACCCAAGTTTCATCAACTGACAAAGTTTGATGATCATAGGTCTGAAAGTATTCAAAATATGCCTTTTAAACAATTTGAAAACAAATGCCTGCAAAATTCAAAAAGTAGGTCACAGTGGCCTACTTTTTCATAAATATGTTTTAAGGCCCCAAGATGCATCAATTTACAAGGTTTGGTGAAACTAAACCTCTCAGTATCTGAAATAATGGGATGAAATGTTTTAGAAAAGATGAGCCATAAAATTCAAAAAGTAGGTCACGGTGACCTACTTTTAAGTTGACCTTGTTTAAGGACCCAAGATGCATCAACTGACAAAGTTTGATGATCATAGGCCTTAAAGTGTCCAAAATATGCATCCAAATCAATTTGAAAACAAAAGCCCGTAAAATTTAAAAAGTATGTCACCGTGACCTACTTTTGTGTTAACATGATGTGAAGTCCTTAGATGCATCAACTTACAAGATTTGATGATTCTAGTCTTTATAGTAAGCAAAATATCAACGTTTTTATCAAGTGTAAATTTTGGTTAACTTTGAAGTGACCTTGAGACCACGCCCTTTGCCCCAGGGTCATGCCTTGAACAATTTTTAATCTTCAACATATCCTGAATCTTGTATGTAAGTTTGGTGAAAATCTGCCGGGTGGTTCTGGAGAAGAAGATTTTTTAGCAACCAGTACTTTTGGTTCTATTTCCCTGATTATCTCCCCTTGTTTTAAGGTCCCAACCCTAGATTTAGTATTAATGGTAGCCCTTGGGCCAAGGATACCCTGTAACAAATTTGACAATGATTGGCCCAGGGGTTCTTGAGTTATGGCCCATATTCTAACAAGTTAACGCACATCGCACAAATGGCCATAGCATTAGCTCTTTGAGCCTTTGGCTCAGAAGAGCTAAAAACCTCAAAGGTTCCTTTCTTACAAGGGGAGGATACGGCATAAGCAGTCTAAAAATGCAAAAATGCTTCCTATTTCCTTAGTACGGGAAAAATATCACATCACAGAAAAGCTTTGCAAGCAATATCAGATATAAATACAAAGAATTTTTGCCAATATCCATGCAAAAATTTTGACAATAGCATTCCTTGTTTCATTAAATACTTAGTACCTCAACAAGCATCAAATACATGTATCACCTGTTTTATGATAAAGCTGACCATGTAATTAATCATGCTGCACTAACAGAATATGTATGATGTCACTGATTTGTTAGACATACTGTGTAGGAAAAACAGGGGAGATTATTCATCTTTTTCACAATTTTTATATATTTATATAAACATTAAATTTTTAAAACATTTATATGAGGGTGATAATATATAACAATTTGTATAATAATTAAACATCTACAGGTGATTTTAATAATACTTAGCATCTATATTAACAAGGACTTAGACATTGTCAATAGTGACATGTGTCCTGCTTCCCTTTCAGTATTTCCTTGATCTAAGACTTTTTAGTATGATAAATGTTTGATAAAATGTGAAGAATTAAAGGGAAGTTAATGCTTCAATGAAATATTGTTCTTCTTTACAATTTTTTATGATGTGTATTTTTGATCTCACAGGATATGATTATGAATTCATAATCATATCCTGTGAGATCAAAATACACACCATGCACATTATCCCAGCTATTTCATTGATATCAAAAGGTTTCACATTACAGGACACATGCTAATGGATTTCACATGCATTACCACATTGGAAAAAGGTTTTATTAAAATAAACCCTGTCATAAACAGTCACTACGAGGAGCTTTGTCTAAACACGAGTCAATAATGACTCTTTCTTATTGAAACTTGCTTTAAACAAAAATAAAGAGAATGCCAGGACTTTTGAGTACTATGGACAATACTAGCCATGCAGCATTAATTTGGTCAGATTTTTCATCCATCTTAGGGGAATAATTCAAATTCTGGTTATTTTTATCCCATTTTCTCATTAGAAAAAAACACAAATAGTAGACATTTTATGATTTAGATAGAATCTCATTATTTCTCTAATGTTGCGACTCAAAAAAATTTTTAATATCAAAACTGTTTTAAGCAGTCTGTAAAAAACAAAGCCTTTCATGGCCCTGATTCTGACATCTCCTTGCATTTTAAAAGCCATTTTTTCCATTTACTGAACACACAGAATTATGATATCATTTTCTGATTCCTACATCTATCACAAACATTACTAGGTTATATCACAACACATGTATATATTCCTGATCTGAAGTGCCAACAACACAAACCTCAGTGAAATATATGATGTTTTATCAAACAATTATCGAATGTCCCTCATACAATTGCACAGTTATCCCCCTTACCTGAGCTCCCCTCTTGACCTCTGACATGATCTCCACGCCCCCTCCGCTGTGCACATACCATAACAGGGATAGCAGAGACACCTCATGGGGCTCAGCACACATGATAGACTGGATAAAAACCTTAACCATGCTAGCCACACATCTGGAACAATGGCAAGTCTATATAGTCTTAAAGCAGTAAAATTTACAGAACTTTGACAATTCAGTTAATCTAAATGCTTTTTACAGAACTTATGTAATTAACAGATCAGAAGATTAATTTAAAGGCTCTTTATCAAATGTGCAGTTATTTGATGTTGCATGTTATAGATTATCAAACAAAAATTGCCACCTGGAGAATCAGTGATCACTTTGATAAAAGATTCCTTTGAAGAAGCAGCACTTTAGGCTGCACTCAGAAACAGTTTTAAATGAGTTCTGTGCCTTGTGTCTGTGTTCACTATTCAGTACTGAATATCTGAATATACTGTATTATAGCATAGATCAAAAATTGTTTTTATTTGTCTCACTTTGACCAGCAGTTTCTGTCTATAAACTCCTGAGCTGTGATGCTGTCCCATTCCACTGCTTTTTTGGCTGTCCAAGGAGTATGAATTGGTACCTGAATTGTAATAAAATATATTTTTTACAAATTGTGACTGGTATATGCTTTTGACTCTGTTCAGCTATATATTTAAGCAAATAAATGTTTATATGTATATTTTTTCTTTAACAATTTTTTTTACCATTGTTTAAAATTAATTTTCAGCAAAAATATAAAACAAGTCAAACATATCCTCCCTATAAAATGTTTATTATCCACCATTTTAAAATGAAACATGAATTTATCAAAGATAATGAATTGCATTTACAACCAGTTAATCCATTCCTAGGCTAGCACTTTGCTTTCTGCACAATTTACTGTATATCCATTTTTTCCTGATTTGAATAATGCTTTTTGAAATAGTTCATCACTATGTAACAGTGCAACTCATATTAGCTCTTTTCATTGAAATGTTTAATATACAATAATAACATCTAAAAAAATTATTTCTTAAACATGATACCTCTTGTGCCATATAGTCAATTGTCCTTATGATGTGGTTCAAATCAAGAAGTCTGAAAGGACTCCAGAATGGTGGGATCATTCCACGGTAGTGAATGGTTCCATGCTGAAAACAAAGCAATGCCTCTTATAAATTACACATGTTGCAACATTCAATAAAATAAGCTATATTTCAAAGAAATGGGGACAAATTTTAATTTATTTTTAAAGCTTGTAAAATGTTATGTGACATAAAGGGTAATATGGTGCATATACATGTATTATATGAAAAAATGTGACAAGCAATACATATACCAGTACATATGCTATATTTCACAAAGGAAATTTTTAAAGACACTGCAATGAATTTGCTCCCACCTCCATTGAGGCAGATACATGTGCCATGAAATCCCAATATTACACCCCCCCCCAATTTGTATATTTATTGTGCACAAAAAATTCCTTATTTTTTCATGTTTTTGAAATTATCTATATTACAAATGTGTTCTTTACACATCAAATTCCACGACAAAAATTATAATTGTTGTTCCTGAATGAATAATTGGCCTACAAAATTTACATGAATTTTAGCATAAAAATAAAAGCGATTTTCATAAATATATTTTTTTTTTACGATTGAGGTAAGAATTTGGCTTTATGAATTAAGTGCAACTTTTTGTGTGCAATAAATTACACGTTTTTAATTAATTCCTCACATATAATTAGAAGTCTGCAGTATATGTATATATCATAAATTGGTTAAAATTGTATAAGTGTTAAAATATTGACAGATAAGTCAGGACAACTGCAAATGCACCATGGTGGAAGTAAATAGATAAGAAATGAACCACCTGATTGACTGAAAGGTGTAAGTGTTAATAGACTAGAGAGTGATTTCTAGAAGGGTTATCTAAAAGAAGTAATCATGAAGAGAACATATGACTGCTAACAGTAGGTGTGATTTTAAGGACATTCCACTTGTAGCTGAAAATATATTAAATACAAGTATTTCCTGTAAATGGTTTTGTTTCTTACTGTTGACAGATCAAGAACATTCTTTCCCTTGTGAAACACATGGTAGGTGTCTATCTCCAGTTCCTCAGCAAGCTTGATAATTCTGTCCTGATGGGGACCAATGTAGGCTCCTCCTAAATCCACAGGCCCATGTTCCTCTGTCTGCCAAATAATCGTAAAAATGTCTTAAAATAAATAAATAAACAGACAGTGTCTAATATATCATGACTTTCTTGGGAAAGTATTTATCAATTTTTAGGTCACCTAGTGCAGTGGTATTTGCACAGAACATTTGCTCTGGTTGTGTGAAGTACAGCGTTGACCTCTATATTGTGGGTTTGAATCCCACTACAGGACATGGAGATGGATCCTTTGGATGTAATTGTATAAGAAAAAGGTCTCATGTCACAGTATGTGCTGGCACAAAAAAGATCTCTCATTGCTCAAAGGCCCTAAATGCTAAGTACAGGTCTAAATTTGCAGCTCTCAACCAACAAGTCATGATATTTGAAGGGATGTTAAACAAACCATCAAACATTAATTTTGAAAATTGAAATGCATACATGTAGCAAGATACCAATACCATAAATCATCAAAGAATGTTGATAAAAATGAGATTTCAAAAATTAGTTTCTTGTGCTTTTTACGGAAAAAAATTATTCAGATATGTGTTATGTCAATGTACAAAAAATGTGATTTTATGGCTAGAAAATAAATATATATGATGATGTCCTTTTTTCTGGCTTTTTACAGTGTATGCATGTATTGTAATTTATTTTTTCTTATGTTAAATTTAAAGCCTTTTTGATACATATACTATTTTGTAATAACTTTCACAATTAACACAATATACACTAAAGCATGCAACATAATATATAAGTATCTTTGATTAAAGTTGATTGTAATACAAATTTCAATATGATATTTTAGAACTGTTTGTATACTATTTTGGTGTAGAGCCTCCCTCCAACCCTGTCTCTGGCCTCCAACACAATGACCTTCAACCCTCTCTGTGTTAAACACCTGGCTGCATAGAGACCTGCAAATGGAGGGTGGAATTTTGACAATAATTCCTGGAAGATTTTTTTCTTATATAAAAAAAAAACACGAGACATCAAAATCATAATTTGCATTAGCTTTAAATATGAACCAAAACATTACTTTGACAAAGACATGCAATTCAACATGTTCAAACTTCACAAAATGCTCATTTTTGATTGTAGAAAATTTTACCAACTGCTCAAGAGTTGATAATAAATTCGAATCCCTTCAAATATGCTGTGAGTCTGAATGATATTTGGTAGCAAAAGCGTAAGATTTAAGGTTTTATTTATTTCATTGAAAATGTTTTAAACCCAAGTCATTGTCTCCCACATTATCATGATAGATTGTGCAGACTGAAATGTACATTTATTACCGAACGATGATACAATGAAAACGTTTGAAAAATTGTTTATATATTATAACTTTTTTTTACACAGATACAAGAAAAGGTATGGAACAAAATTGTAGCATGCAACCCGAATTTACTCGGTACTCATGTTTGAAAATCATATTTTGATGCAAAAAACTCATTTGATTTATACTTTTTCGGATGCAAATAAATAAATTATTGACGACAGCAATTCTTACATACCACTCACTCCTGCTCCGATTATACAAACATCGAAAATGTTTCTCTCTGTCATAGACATTGTAAACTTCCGGTTTGTGTTTTTTTGTTAACTTGTACTTAAAAACTGTCTTTTTTATCATGATATTACATATCAAATAGTTGTTGAATAGTTGAAACAACTTTCAAATATTTTTCTCTGAATGAGCAAAATGAAATATGTACATTTAAAAAATCCAATGTTCTATATTACAGATGTCTTGCATTGAATGTGAGGAGGGGAGAGGGGGGCTACTGGCGGGAAAGAACTCAGATTTCTTTAAAAAAGAAAAAAAAATACGTGAAGAAATCCATTTCAGGAGGGGGTACATCAACAGAAATCAGCATATCGTTCGAGAATCCACGGTCTATCTTTATTTTACATATGTAAAATTTACATTAATTAAAAAGAACCCATCTACTGATGAGAATTAAATTTTAACACCCCAAATACAATTTCTATAGTTTCCATCAAAATACATATACCGCAGAGTCATTTCAATGACCAAAATCAATTCCAGATGCATTTTAGACTGATTTTTATGAACTAAATTTTAAAATTAAATACTTACGAAAAATAAAGTCAGTTGAAGAATTTGTTATAAAGGATGTAAAATTTATTTATTTTATTTTTTCTAACATCGCCTTGATGGAAAATTGATCAATGTCTTATATTCGTAAATGTATTTCTAGCATATCTGAGGTCGCTATAATTGTGAATTTTTACTAGGAACTTTATAGAAAATTTCTAAGCCTCAAACTTTGCTTTATCCGTAAAATTCATTATTTTCGTATTCATTTTACTGTTTTGTTGTAATTTTCCTTGGAACTTTAGTCGTGTATAAATTTATTTTAATTTTCAAGTTTTTAATAATACTGTCGTGAAAGACGAAAAGAATGTAAAAATAAATGATTGTTAATTAATACAGAAGTGGATCATCCCCCACCCGGGATTTAAGAGTTGTCAGACTTATATTGCTAAATTATCCCCAAAGGTTATACCTTGTACTCACCAAAACCCTGGAAACAATCGTATACTTTTCTAGCATAAATTTGTCATGTTATGTAAAAGAAATATGTTCGTGTATTTTATTTTTTATTGATTTGTTTATTTATTGCAGAGAGAGAGAGAGAGAGAGAGAGAGAGTTGGTATATACACCCCGCTGAAATCGCCCTTGTACTGAGTAACATGCATATGAATGGTATTACTCACGTTAGTTACTCGACATGAACGATGAAAATATGGGCTGATATAAGATTAGTGATGAATTGGCGGTTTTTGTATCAAATTTAAAAGTAATGTTTCAGATGAATAAAAACAATTTCCTGTAAACAAAAGGAAAGATCCATACCATATAGTGCATATATTCGACTGAATATGAATATAATCGTTACTCAGTTAGTCAGTATAAAAACTTAGAACCTGCATGAATTTTGAATTAGTTTTTTTTTTTTTTTTTTTTGATAGGAAGTTTACTATGGAAGCAAAAATTCTTTAATTTAAGGAATTCTTTAAAATTTTCTTAGGTCCAAAACAGTATACTCGTATTAAGCACTCAATATTTTTATTATTTTCACAATTTCAGTTAACAATGGGGATTCTTATCATTATGCTGGTATCTTTTGAATAGATTAAACTCAAAAATTACACATAATTTACAATTTAAAACATGATATTTTTGAACCAATATGATGAACAACAGTATCACAGAGTTGTGTTACTAAAGCAAAGAAAAAACATGTATAAAGGAATGTCAAATTTCAAATTTAAAGGCTTTATGATTACGTATTAATACATCCACCCCCCCCCCCCCAAAAAAAACACACACACACACACACAGACACTGAGAAAACCCCACACGTTTAATATGTATAAACACTGATAAATGACAAAAAGATCCAAAGGCACAATGGCACAAATAATAGTTTAGTTCAAAGTTTATTCATTGTATTTCTCCTTACAAAAACACAAAATTTGTAATGAGGCAAGTGCCTCACATTGGTAGTTACGGTATTGGCCTCGTGGTGTTCAACAAAAAATGGCTGCTCCGGGTGAGGCTCGAACTCACAACCTCCGCATTCCTCATCCTGTGTGAACACAGGGAAGGTACTGTCTATAAGTACGGCGCGCTAACCGATTGTGCCACCGGAGCTGCTCGACCGCCTCGCCGTAGAAAAGGACTAATTAGACGGAGTTAGATCCCTTAGATGGGAGGGTACCTTAAAATTTTGAAAAACTATTTTAGTTGATAAAATTGAAACAGATTTTAATCTCCCCGAGAAAAAATCATTCATACTTGTTGTCGAATATGGTCATGAATATTTATGACATAAATAAATCCGCCCACATTAATGGGCGGGACTTAACTATTAAATCGATAGAAAACTTTGAAGTTCGGGATAGTTTGCTGGTAGCTTAAACTTGTATTAAAAGGTATTCTTTACTAAAAGCTCGTTTGCAAATCGTTTACTACATATTTTACATGTTTTATTTCAAGAGCAAAATAAATTGTTTATTTTTAAATGAAGAAGTAAACAAATTCACAATGCCGTTCCTTGAAATGAGTCAACATAGATATATATTATTTCTTAAATAAAATAAATTTCTTTACAAAGAAACAGACAGAAACCAGTGCATATAACTGTTAAATCCATATTTTTAATTTCATTAAAAAATTATAAATTTAAAGTTAAAAAAACAAACTAGAAGCATGCAAGCACATGACATTTTTTTAATATATCATATACGTATAGTCTGAAGGAAAGCTATATATAAATATTTACTGTGAATATTTTTTAACGTTTTATTTCATCGAATAGTTTTAATTTTACCAG